GCTGAGCCTGCCAACCTCCTCTTCTTTGCTGCTGATTAACTGTGGAAAAGAGAGAAAATATATGCAGTTGTTTGCGTTGGTTGTTTTTTTTTCTCATGGCGTGGGTTTGAATATTAATATGAGCCATAAACACAGAAGCTCTGGGACTATTTAAATTTAAAAAACATTTGCTTCTGCCACATCTAGGCCAAAACCCAGAGAGGGCTGGGTGCCAGGAGCAAAGGCATTGCCTCTTATGCAGGGAAAGTGAGTGTGCCCCAGGGCTCAGCCTGGTCCTCTGCCTGAACCCCCTGAGGCTAGAGGTGCTGGGAGCATTACTGGGACCAACATCACAGCATCTGTGGCAAAGCCCACCAGGAACAGAGCAAAGGAGAGCCAAGGAGAGGGGTAAGGATGCAGAATCAGGGGTGAGCAGGAAAGGAGGAAGATTACTGTGTGGTAATTAGAAAGCAATAAATCCCCTCAGTGTCTGACACTAATTTAAACTAGGTTTGGGGTTTTTTTTTTTCCGAGATTAATTACTGGACAATTCTAAAGCTTTCTACCAAAAAGTGTGCAGTCTGTTGCCAGGGAAAAGGCATGAATGAGAGCACTTTGGGAAAGGGCAATTTCATTCCAGGAGGGAAATGTTGCTACAGGCAGGGAAAGGGCATTTTAACCAAGCTGCCTCTCCCTGCCTTGCCTGGTTCTAACCGGCCCTCGGCCTCTGCTCCTTTCCCCTTGGATGCATCTCCTTGGCACAGCCTCAGTGCTCCCCCACCATGTGCTGACATCCCTCTCCTTCCTGACAGAAATTCAGCAAAGCCAGAAGGAATAAAAATCAAATCCTAGACCCAGACATTTAGCCCCAATTCAAACCTCTCAGAGATATAAAAATAGGGAAACACATTTTGAGCATGATCTGTCTGCAGATGTTGCCTGCAGTTGTCTGAGCAGCCTCTATGTCAGTCCCATGAAATGACATTTGAACAATTTGTGGACTCCTTTTTCTGACTGGTTGGCAGAAAGTGAGAGTTTTGATGATAGGAAATCAGGGCAGGTTTGGGGCAAGTTGGGAGCTGTGCAGAAGGGACAGCAGCTCTTGCAGCAGCTCTGGTGCTGCAATGCCATGAGTGCCAAAGGATCCATGTAGCCCCTCATTTTTTGGGATAATTCTGGGATCAGCAGACCTTGACTGCCTCACTGCTCTGAGAAGAGCTGATTTAAAGGCCTTTTGCAATCCATCAGCTAATTAAAACCATGAGCAGCTCTAAAAGCCTCTGTGTGAGGACACACTGGGTGGTTGGTAGTATTTTGTGTAGGAGGGAGAACACATCACTGGAGTCACCCAGGCTTGTCCCCAGGTCCAGAGTCCTGGCCCCAAGAGGCTCATCCACTTGTAGAAGAGCTTGAGTATTGGCACTAACACCTCTCTGTTTACTAGTGTCTGTGTGTCACTCAAAATACTTCACTCTTTTCTCCCAGAAATCTTCCTAGTCTAATTGCTCCGGGATAATCTTCTTCCTGCTCTTCTGTACACTTGGTTCTCCAAAAATTCTTGTTTCCCTTTGCTGAGATTACTTTTCAATTAAAAATAGTATTGTCATTCATAGCCTATGATCACAGTTTCAGCAAGGAGCTCTTCACCAGAGATTTTCTGTGCAAATTCACCTGTTAATAAGGTGCTGATAACATTCTTCAAGGATTAACAGAATTTTTTTGAGGTTTTTTGGTTAGGTACTCAGTCCATGATTTTATTATGGAGAGAAAGGCAGCAGAGGACCCTGCCCACTGAGAATCTTCAAAGCATCCAGGCAGTTTGGTGTAGGGTGGCCTGTAACCAGAGGTTTCTGCTCAAGGTGACTAATCATCCTTTTTGCAGTGTGTTTTTATTACCTGCTCTCAGTTTCCACCCAGACCCCAGGGAGATGGGAACCCAGGGCACAAGGACAGTAGGCACATGGACCCAGTCAGGGTTGCACAACTGCCATTTCTTGATTTCTGATTGATTTGCAAGTTAGCCAGTGTTACATAAAAATTGGGTGTAGTCTGAAAGTTTGCCAGCATTCCCCTCACTTTTTTTCTTCTTTAAAGCTAATTCTGCTACATGCAACCCCTATAACCCCTCATCTCCTTGGCATTGTCATCAAGATTTAGGGTCTGCCACACAGGTCTCCACAATCTGAGGTTAAAAAAGCAGTAACTGCCTCTGTTGGCAATAAAAAGTGCTCCAAACACATCCAGAAAAATCCCAGTATTCCCTCAAAAACACATAACACTGACTCGGGGCACAGCTCTGCAGTTTATCACTGCTGAAGAAGACTGTGATGATGAGGGGTCTGCCCCTCTAACCTGGACCTTGTCTCTCCTGTGTGACCTCTTGTCAGGATTGGCTTGGAAAACCACCAGCTCACGTGAGAAGAGCAGATACCTGCCAATTCCCTCATTTCCCAGCTCCTGACCTGGCTGTGGAGCTTTTCCAAGGGGAAATGCAGTCAGGGCCTGTACAGAGCCCATGAAGCCGGGCTGGAGCCAGGTTATGTGGCTGGTGCCTCACTCACAGTTAACTGGCACTTTTAAGGAAAAATGTGAGGTTGGGACATGGCACAGATGTTTGTGGCATTTCTGAGACTGTGGCACAAGTGGGATAAAAATGCAATCTCAGCCAGAGAGGCTGAGGCAAAATGATGAGATGATGTAAGTCGACAAAACCTCAGGAGACTTGTCTCTGCCTCAAAGGCCATCCTCCAGCTGTCTTGCAGAGACCTACCACACACCATGAGGGCCCTGAACTCTTCAGTAAATTGTCCATCTGCTTGGGAAGAGTGGGCTCAGCCCACCCTGGAGAAGCTGCCCTGCCTCAGCAGAGGTGGGGGCAGCTGGACAGGGACTCTGCAAAACCTGCTGCTGCTGGGGAAATCAGCCACTGCATATGCCCCATGGCTCTGCCTGATGTCCTGCCCAGCTTGCCCTTTCACAGCCCACGTTTGCCAGACTGCTGTGGGCACAGAGTGCCAGTGGGTGCCACCACACTGCTGTGCTGGGAGAGCTGTAAATCAGCTGGTGCCACTCCAGGAGGGGCCACTACATGTCAGTTGGCAGTTTTGGGATCATGGGAGAGATCCAGCTACATCTAGAGTATAGGCAGATGCTGACTGTCCTCTTTAAAGCACTCATTGCTTCCAAAGTGTGCTGCCATGTCTTGCTGCTGCTATTTTGGGGCAGTTAAGGGTCAGTCTGAGTGAGTGTCCAGAGGCAGGGAGGCCTTGCATGGGGAAGGTTCAGCACACAACATCTCAAGAAGCTCCTGGACAGTGTACCATCAGATGGTGCGGACTGGTATGTCCTAGGGGAACCAATGGCTC